TATAAAAAAAGGAAAATTTTTCTATTTTTATAGCTCAAAAAGTTCAACAAACCTCTTAATAAAACACCACGTACCTTTTGTAGAGATTTTTTCAATTAAGTATATTTTTCTTTTGAGAGGAAATTCAAATAGCTTGTTACCCCATTACTTAAGTGCCTGGTGCTAAATATTTCCATCTTGGACGCTTACTTTGTCCAAAATTTCTACGAAAAGCAACTGTACTACTCTTGAAAGACCAATGGAGTTTTCTAAATTTACGCCGAACCTACCAGAAAAGCTATAATTGCATATAGGGAACAGACGTAGACACGTCGCCCGCCTTGCCTTCCTTTAAAGCTCCTTCTCTTGACCCCGAGTCTACCTTTCTACTACAAATATCATGTCCACGCGCCCATAGTCACATGGGTAATCTTACATGTAGATATTTACATTTTAAATACTCAACTTTTGCCCAGGAAAAATGAAAGAGACCCATTATATTATTTATTTATTTATTATATATTATAAACTATAAGAGTATTTTTAGATTAATTTTTACATTAATTGAAACTACATTCATCATTTTATAAGCTGAATTAATATAGAATGATATTAGTTTTAAATCGATTTTAAAAGCTAAAGCTTTTAAATTTATTAATAATTCATGTCCAGTGTTATACAAGAAATAAAAAGGAGCGTTTTATAAAATAAGAATCAAACCACTTAATATGTTAAACGTTTTCTTACCACTTCACTTATAATGTTCAATAATATAAAAATAACTTGGCTGTTTAATTACGTGACCAATCTCCTTAAAAGTTAGAATAAAGCAGTATTTTTTTCCAAAAAAATAACTAATGCGGTGTTAGGAAGATGAATGAGGAAAAATGGCTACATTGCCTCTTTCGCATCAAGTAGTTTAAATTAGATAGAATGTAAATATAGTTTCAAGACAAAACAAATCTATCAAAAAATCAGCGAATATAAATCTAGAGGGATCTCTAATTTCTCCAATAGCTGTTGTTTTTTAAGAGAAAACGAAGAAGAAAGGGAGATAGTTTTTTCAAAAATGGTCGCACGCACGTTTCCTTTGTTCTTAAACTCGAGAATCCAAACACGAAATCGATACACAGGTTTTAGCCTCGAATCATCCAGTTCTTCAACCAAAATTTTCATTTTCTACTGTTTTTCTTTCATTCATTTCTCTAAACTGGTATTCCAATCTATACATGTAATTATAATCATCGATATCCAAAGATTTAACGAGATAAAGACAAACTGAGGTTTTTTTTTAAAAAAAAAACCTCAGTTTGTCTTTAGTATATATACCTATTCTCAATTGAGTCCCAAAACAATATATTTTATCAATTCAATTCCAAATGTTTCAAACATTTCTCAACTGGGTCATTTTGCCAAGGTTTATAAATATTTTCCATCAAACATGCCCATTTTATGCAATAAAAGGCGTAAAAAAAAAGACAGAAAATTACAAAAAAAAGGACAAAATATCCAATTGAGAAATCTCTAAAACATATGGGACGTGATTAATGAAATTATTTGTTTTGGGACTTGATTGATAATTTGGTAATAAATTAGGGGTTAGTTTGAGGTTTCTCTGTGATTAATGAAATTATTTGTTTTGGGACTTGATTGATAATTTGGTAATAAATTAGGGGTTAGTTTGAGGTTTTCTCTGTGATTAATGAAATTATTTGTTTTGGGACTTGATTGATAATTTGGTAATAACTTAGGGGTTAGTTTGAGGTTTCCTCTGTTTTTTAACAAGATTATGACCTCGAATTGTTTGTTACTTAGTGTATGTGCATGAATTTTCGTTTCCTAATAGGTAATTTCACAATTTTTTTGGATTAAAATTGGGATTTTATGTGAAAATATAATATTAAAAAATGATAAAAGATTGGACAGAGATTTAAAGAAGACCTATAAATAAAGACTGTTTTTTTTATCTACCTCCAACTCATTAAGAGATAACCTAAATCCTCCCTCGTTGTATTTATAAGATTATCAATGGAAATTAATTATAGTTAAACCTTAAACATTCAAATTAATTATATTCCTAATAAGAAATAACAATGTGTTTTGTTCCATATAATATAATACAAGGTAATCAAATGTGTAATATAAATAAAAATGCAATGTAACGGAATGGAATGGTCAATTCATTTCTTTGTTTGACTGCAAAGCTTTTAATAATATAATGGAAAGTATTTATAAAATTTCATTTTTTGTTCCTTGTACTTTATAAAAGTTTACATTTCAGTATGCATAATAAAAATATTTTACAATCAGGTCCTCATAAGATTACTCTTCATTACGTCTGAATAAACACAAGGCAAGTGTATAGTTTCTAATTATACCTATTCTGTTGTCTCTAGAGCACAACTGTTCGACTAATTTTGTGCTCAATTCTTCATTTTCCTGTATTGATGATAAACGCCCTTTTATTTTACCAAAACACCTATGAAATGCATACACAGGGATTAATTATTTTTTTTCTCAAATTAAAATTTTGAATTGAGTAAAAATTAAATTTTGATAGTCATTTACAAATCTGTAAAGAGGAAAAGAAAAGGAAAAGGCCAATGAACCACTCATTAGTCAGAAGAATCCTTAGCGTGATGGTTTAATCCGTGACATGAGGCCAGGCCCCTCCATCAGAAAGGAAAGGACGGGGGAGAAAAAAAAAAGAAAAAAAAAGGAAGTTCCATGTTCTTGACCAAACATGCAGCATGTCATAAATGGTTTTGTTTCATTATTTCCCTGTGTGTTTATCCAACTAAACTCAATCTTATTTTTCTTTTTTCTTTTTTTTAACTCACACATCTAAAATTCTTAATAAAATTAATTTACAAGAATTTAAATTCATAATCTTTTATTACAAGAAACTACTATCACCGACCTATAAATTCTTTGATATCTTACTATCTTTTTATTGATTGGAATTTTGAACTAGTAAATTATAAATTAGTATTTTTATTTTTTAAAAAATAAATAAATAAATTTTTTAAAAATATTAATTATTGATTCTTTTAACTATTATTGGTCATTTTTAATTTAATATTTTTTATTAATTTTTTTCTTAATTTTTTACTTATTTATTTTTTTCTATTTATAAAAAATTGAAAAAAATGATTAAGTTACAAAAAAATATTTAAAAATATAAGAATTAAATAATTGTTTTTAAACTCAATCTTATTATTATTTTTTTAACTCACACATCTAAAATTATTAATAAAATCAAAAATTCTTAATAAAATTAATTTACAAGAATTTAAATTCGTAATCTTTTATTACAAGAAACTACCATCACTGTCCTATAAATTATTTAATATCTTACTATCTTTTTATTAATTGAAATTTTGAGCTAGTAAATTATAAATTAGTCTTTTTTATTTTTTAAAAAATAAATAAATTAATTTTTTAAAAATATTAATTATCGATTCCTTTAAATATTATTGATCATTTTTAATTTAATATTTTTTATTAATTTTTTCATAATTTTTTACTTATTTATTTTTTTCTATTTATAAAAAAAATGAAAAAAATGATTAAGTTACAAAAAAATATTTAAAAATATAAGAATTACATAATTGTTTTTAAAATTAAAAATTAATAATTTTTTTTTATAAATACCAGAGAGAATAATTTCTAATTTACTCCATTTTGAGCACATACCATGATCCAGAAAAAAGAAAAGAAAAAAAAAAGGTTCTCTATATCTAATGATGCAAAAAAGAAAAAAAAACTAATCAATTAATATCTACACACATGACGAGTGACATTTCAAAAGACAGGTCCTCGAGTCAGGTCCCACAGGGAAAACAACAAATAGGAAGGCATCGTGTTTTGCTTTTTTCTTCAAATTGGTAATCATTGTTTTCGTTAGTTTCAAAGCCGATCTTCTATCTAAACTAAGTTAAGTATTTTGGCTTGATTAACAGGTAGATATCTTCAATAATTAATAATTTAAATATGTAATCAATTAATATCTTAGAACTGCAGGATCGATTATCATTCTCCCTTTTAAGCAACTAATCTAGTTGACGTGTTAGTTGCTTATAAAGCAAAGCAATGCAATCAATAAAAAATAAAGATAGTTCAAACATACTTTAGTGGCTTAATTATCCAACGAAAAAGGAGATTTCAACATTGACTTAACCATAATAAGAAATTAATGTAATAATCACAATAAAGATGAGGATTTCACTTGCCCAATTCTTGTGTGAAGTATAAACAAATTTGTTTAATTATTTGTGAACTATTATAGATTTTTCCCTACAAAACTGAAATGATAAAATTGTTTCTCTTTTTATTAATTTTCTAGTGGTTAATAGGGCCCACATGTTTTTAGTGTTTTTTTTTTTTTTTTTGCTTATCGGGAAACCTCGTTTTTCATCTTTCTAGTTTGAAAACAACATGGTTGTGTTGTGCTTCATGAAATAATAAGGTACAACAAACATGGTTAAAAGGACTAAATTGAGAAGTATTAGATACTTTAAGAATCTAATGGAGAAAATTCTTACTTTTTGTGAATGCATTTGAGAATTGATGGATAGTTTGGGATTGATTTAAGATTTCTCTCCCTCTATTTCTTTTTTTGAGAATTCTTTTCTTGTTCATTATATATATATAAACAGGAAAGTAAAAGCTTAGAGCAACCGTTAGCAGCTATTTCACATGTCAGAAAGAAATTCCTAAATTCTTTTCGCTTTTACACTAGCTTTCTACGAAAACATAAAAGAAAAGAAAATACTTCAACGAAGCCTTCGTCAAAAACTGAAAGAAAAAAGAAAAGAAAGGGAAAAAAATTGAGCAACACGCACCAAAACAGCGTGTGCATAAAGTTGATACCCAAATAAAGACTCCCTTTAAGCACACTTCCTCTCGTTTTTCCACTGCTGCTTCCATAACAACCACCACGCTCTCATCTCTATTCTCTCTTCTCTCTCTATCTCTCTCTCTCTCTCTCTCTCAAAAGAAACGAAAAGACAAGAGAGCAAATGAGTCGTCTTGCACCATTGTCAGAAGAACCCATAAGCGAAGATGAAGAGTACAACACAAGCTGTTCGAAGAAGAAGGGTCACTCATGGAAAAACTGGCTCAAGACTCATTTCTATCTTGTTTTCAACAAAAAATCTGACCTTAAAGTTCTTTTAAGTGTTCTTGGTTGCCCTCTTTTTCCTGTCTCCATCCATTCTAAATTACCCATCAATGAGGTATGTTATGCACTACATATATATATATACATATGAATGAACGTATGCGTTTTTAGATTTTTTTTTTTTTTTTTTTTTGCATATAAGGAAATAAATTAAAATCTCATTTTGATCTTTTGGTGCACTTTTTTCAAAGAACATATATATATAGTCATATTTGGTTAGCCTAGATTTTCTGTACTTTTGTCCAAGAAAATGTAAACTTGTTTTCTTGATTTGTTTGTAGGTTCTTTTTGCTTTGTTATTGCTGTTTAGGAGTTCTTAGCCAAAGCAACCAATCTGTGGTAATTTTTTGGTTTTGTGTGATCAGTGCCTCCCTGGCTCTCCACTGAGATGCCTCAAAGTCCCCACTAACACTAGGCCAATGGAAGAATCAGAAAAGAAAAAAAAATATTCGAGGCCCAATATTTGTGGGGTCAGTGCCATATCAACACTAAAATAAATAAATAAATAAATAAATAACGACAGCACTGGGCACAACATTTTGTGGGTCTAAGTAATGAATATAGCGATAAGTACGTGTGGAAAAGTATAAAGGTTTAAGATGATAATTAGTCATTTAATTAAGGTATTCTTCTACAAGGATAGCTTTTTAATGTGAGAATTAATGATTCAAATGTGGGTCTCAATCTTTTTCATTTCAAAGTATAAGGAATGTTAACTGGTTAAAAGATGGTCCAAATGAAAAGTACTGATGCAGTTTTCTTTCAAATGTTCCACAAGAAAAAGGTGAAGAGAATAGAGACTGAAAACTAAAAAGTCTGCTGGTACTTAATTAGTAGTAGCAAAATTACACACATTGGTCAATTAGAAGAAATAATTATAATCAGTAACATTCACTAAAATTATTGATGTGATCATCTAGTCTGCCTAGCAACCCAGATAAGAATTCGGGTTTCTTTTTTGATCAATAAGAATTGGGTTTCAAGCTGGTCATGGTCTGCATAAAATTATAATCAAGTTTTTTGTTTTTCAAGGAAAAAAGGAAGAAAGCATTTAATATAGAAGTTTATGTTTGGTGCAAGTTTAAATAAACTTAATAATTACTATTACTAACTTACATTAACTAGCAACAACCATAACAAATGTCTTTAATTAACAGGTTTCCTCCTCGGCTCAATACATTATACAACACTTCACTGCGGCAACCGGTTGCCGAAAATTACAAGGAGAAGTGAAAAATATTTTTGCTACAGGAAAAGTTACAATGGCCATGGTTGATGAGCTTGGTGGCTCAGCTATGGCTGGAGCCAATACAGTTGCGCAGAAGGGGTGCTTTGTAATGTGGCAAATGGCCCCTAACAAGTGGTTAATTGAGCTGGTTGTTGATGGTCATAAAGTTGTAGCTGGCAGTGATGGCAATGTGGCTTGGCGTCACACTCCTTGGCTTGGCTCTCATGCAGCTAAAGGTGGAGTTCGGCCTCTACGCCGAGCTCTTCAGGCAAGTAAAGTAGCAGTACTTAAGAGCTACTATACAATTATGCCAATTGGGGTTTAATTACTTGTTGTTTTGGTTGTTGCAATTAATTCACTTTTGCTTTGCATGTGTAACTATTAGTAATAAATAGGAGTAATAATTACTGATGCACTTTTGGCTATTTAATTAATAATGTGTGAGCTAACTTTGGATCTTGGCTGATGACTATATAGGAAGAGTAGGAGGCGGTGACCCTGAAATCATCACCTTTCTTTATATATAATTTTAGGAAGATCAGTTGGATCCTGGCTACATTTGTCTTAGTTTTATGCTCTTATGTAGGTATCATAGGGCAGCCATAATACAAATTGGAAGAAGTCTAGAGTGTTGATGTTTTAAGCGTTGGGACAATACCAATAACCATTAATCTCATTGGATTTGAATAAAATATGAAAGAAAGAAAGGCTCATTAAATATTGGGACAATACCAATAAATCGTTAGATTCTAATCTAGTGGCGTAATAGCCATCAACATCGTGTTGATGTTCAAGACATCTGAAATTAAAATATTGATATATGCTGACGGATTGAAACTATACAAAAGAATTTTAGTCAAAGAGTGCGTTGGGATGGTGAGTTTTTTCAACAATTAAATCTTTCTTCTGGATAGAATCAGAATAAGTTAGTTGAGATGAAAAAGAGTGAAGTGATTTTAGGTGTCACTTGAGTTTGCTATTTAAGAAGCACAGATTGGTTGGTATCCATTGTGATTTTTTTTGTCCTCCCATCATGTGGATGCTATCAGAGATTACTTACCTGCTCATGTGCAACATATATGGGGCTAGGTGATATAGGTGGCCTTCGTTCAATTTCATACCTAATTTTACCTGAATCAAGATCCAACCACCACCAAGATGCCGGATCTTGGTTCCCCACTGTCAAATAATAGAGTCAGTGAAATCATATTTTGTCAGAAAACAAGCCAATGCTAGTCATTCATTGAAGATAGACGGTGGTAGTTTTTGACAACGATGCTCTAGCTGCAGCACCAAAAATTACTCTACATGTGATTCATTGAGATCATCATGGATACAGTAAAGTACCCATTTTTCTCATCATATTTTTCTGGGGATTGAAAAATAAATGTATTTCTAGTTTTAGTTTTAAAATTGGTAAGTAACTGTATAGAGGTTGAGGTTGTCTTCAAAAGTCGTCTTCCTAAGACATCATTTAATATGTCATAAGTAATAATCTTTTACATAAAGTTTGATTGTAACTTGGAGCTGATAGTTGAATGGTTGAAAGTGGTTTGAACTGTTCATAAGATTCATATTATTGATTGTTACCATTTGAAAATATTCTTAGCATAAAAATTAAAGCAGTACTTGCAAAAGGTAGTTAATATACTATACTAATAATATGTAAAGCGCCATAAAATTCTCTAGTTGTTGACGTTTGGAATAATTCATGCAGGGACTAGATCCTATGGCAATATCAGCTGTATTCTCTCCAGCGCAATACATGGGAGAGAAGTGTATCTCAGGCACAGATTGTTTCGTACTGAAATTGTCTGCTGATCAAGCAGACCTAGCTGATCGAAGCGATAGCACAGCAGAGATGATCAAACATGTAATATTCGGCTACTTTAGCCAAAGAAGTGGTCTACTGGTGTATCTAGAAGACTCCTACTTAACCAGAATTCAATCTCCAGGAGCCTACCCCACATACTGGGAAACCACAATGGCAACAAAAATCGAAGACTATAGGACAGTGGAGGGCGTGATGATAGCACACGGTGGTCAATCAAGTGTAATGATATCAAGGTTTGGGGACAACTTGAAGGCAGGTCTTTCGATCACTCGAATGGAGGAGACGTGGACAATCGATGATCTTGCATTTAATGTAGCTGGACTCTCTATGGACTGCTTCATCCCTCCTAAAGAGGTGCAAAAGGACTATCCGGAGGAGAATCTTGATTGGAGGTCACCATTGCATCGATGATCATCATCTTTTAGGCCACCACCGAGCAAGTTTCTTCTGCAAGTGCATGTGCTTTATATATATATATATATATATATATATAGACTAGTATAGTAGAGATGATCTTTAATATGTGTGTATATACACGATCTGTAACATACTTTAAGCTCTTTCTGTTTCCTTAAAGGAGACTTCTGTATCCAGGACCAGGTCTACCGGTAATCAATATTTTTGTCATGCAGACTGTAAGTCACATCAAGGATTGTATACATATTTGCTCTATGGAGAGTCCTCCGTCCTATATTTTCTACTTGAGCTTTTATGGACAGGACCAGGTCTACTGGTAATCAATATTTTCATCATGCAGACTGTAAGTCACATCAACAATTGTATATATATATATATATATTTGCTATATGGATATTGACTGTAATCAATATATTGAGATAATTATGCTATTAAATATATTATTTTTTAATATTTTTTTAATTGAGTGCATGAATTTTAATTTTTGTTGGTTTGAAAATGTTGACTTTTTCAAAACTACTAATCAATTATTTTTATCTAATTGTTTTTTCAATTGTTTTATTGTTTGAGGACGAACTTTTTACCCCAAATTATTAAATTATGATTTTATTTTTTTCTAAACAAAAATTTTATTTTATAAAAAGAAAAGAAAATGATAAAATTCGGCTCAAGAATAAAATGATTAAGTCGTAATTTAATAGTTTAGGACCAAAAACATAGCGCAACAACAAATAAGAATTAGGAGAAAAATATTTGATTAATAATTTTAAAAAAATTATATACTCATATAAAAAAAATTAAAATTCACATAGCGGATGAAGAAAATATTAAAAATTGATATAATTATAGTATAATTATTTTTCTTACTTTTTTATTTTCTTTCTTGGCAGGTAGAGACGCAAAACATCCCATTTAGTCCCATGTGCATAAAACTAGAAGGGAGATAATTAACTTAGAATAGAATTGAAATCTCGTTTGAACCAAAATGTCCCATCTAGTCCGTTATAGCCGTTACCTTTGCCGCTTCAAAACCCGACATTTCACACTCCCCTTCTCCACCACCACAGTAGAGAACAACAATCCTTCTCGACCCGACCCGCCTCCGATCCGAGTCTCACTCACTGAGTCAGCGGGTCGAGGTGTGTTTGCCACTCGGAAAATCGGCGCTGGAGATCTCATACATACTGCAAAACCCATCGTGGCTCATCCTTCCCTCTCTACTATTAACACCGTCTGTTATTTTTGCCTCAAGAAGTTAACTTCAACAGAACTTCATGGCAAAGGTGTTGCCTTTTGCAGTCAAGAGTGTAAAGAGAATGCTAAGGTATAACGTCACATGTAGTTTTCCTTAAATAGCCAATTGATCTTCGTCAAACAGTAAAATACCCAGAACCTGTTTGATGTTTTGGTCAAGAGACAAAGTTGGATTATTGGTTTGACGTGAGAACTAGCTCAGGTTTGGTGCATGATCAATGCAAACCATGTTTTAGTGATTTGGGTCAGTTTTACTTGATCTATTTGTGAATAAAAAGTGGAGTGTAGCTTTAGTAATTGAATTATGATTTAAAACACACACACACACACAGATATATATAATACTCTGTACTGTGAGAAGTTGCATTCCTTTTTGGGGCTTTCTTTGGATTTTTATTGGATGTTTGGTGGCCAAATTCTGAATTTAAGTTTCTCCAAACTTTTTTCAGGTGTTTTACGAAGTTGAGACGAAAGCAGACTGGTTAGCTTTTGATGACTATTGCCGGTATGAAGGTTCTCAAACCCATTTCATTTCACTTGCTTGTATCTTGATGATGCCCTGGTCTCATCTTGATTTCTTCCATCGATAGCATTCATTTTAGCATGATTTCTGGTGTCGTGCTCTACTCTACTACAGTCTATTAGGAGATCTAGGCTCTAGCGATTTACTCTTATTGGCATTAAGAACAACAGTTCATTTACAAAATCATTGCACAGACAAATATTCTTTAATTGTACTCGCTTCTCCTCTTAATTTCTTGTGTAAAAGAATTTCATATCAGTGAGCTTTTAGGTTCCAGCTCTTTTTATTATCTCTTTCAACAGTTTTTCTTTTATTGTGAAGAAAACAAAAATGAAATGAAGTACTATCTTCCATGTATATGACATGCAGGACCTTTTTTTTTCCTTGCATTCATACTTTTTTGGTTCTGTCATAATGTAGGAACAAAGGTCTAAAGTATCCACTTCTTGTAAAGCGGTTGGCTTGCATGGTTATATCAGGAGCTGCGTCTGCTGAAAGTCTTGACATACTTCAGCCGTCAAGTTTATCTCATGAGATGGCTTTAGAGGTGAGGACTTTATATGGATGTTTTTAGTGGTGATATCACACATATGCGATGTTTTTAGTGGTGACATACTTCAGCCGTCAAGTTTATCTCATGAGATGGCTTTAGAGGTGAGGACTTTATATGGACGTTTTTAGTGGTGATATCACACATATGCGGAATAGGGTGTTATAGGTTGAGATAATGCAGCTCAAATAATGGCATTTTATATGGTTTGAGCTAAAAAAATTCACTATTTTTGCTGCTATGACAGAATATTTGCCACGCCCAAAACCTGCCTTCTCTTTCCTCTGGTCTAGGTTTCATAGGGAAATCCTCCTCCATACCTTTCTGCTTTGCTGATCAATGCGTGCAATATTTGTATTAATGAATATAGGATTTGTTGTTAATTTGGTGGAGTGCTTTTACTGGCACATTTTTGTTTGCCTTATTCAACAGAGTTGAAAAACACGTTAACTCTATCAATTATATCTTTTTCAATCTCTAGCCTTCTCAAATCTTCAAGCAGGCAATTTTTGTTTTTTGATCATTTTTTGGTTTCATAACTGAAAACATAATGTTACTGTTGACAGTCTTTGGAGAAAGCTCATTTTCTCGCTTTTGAAGTTGTTGTCTAGTTCTTTCTTTATAGAACCTAAGTCCTTGCTGGCATACTTTTAGGGGTTTTATTTTATATTTTTTAAGAGGAGTGCTCGTATGATTTTTGACTTGGAATATGATTTGTGGCTCATAATAACTTCATATGTTTTGTTATATCCTCTTTCTTGATGGTATAGCTACAATTCAGTTGAGCGAAGATTATTCTAATAAATGAACATTTTACAGATGGAAGAGGGCTATGGTTTGCTGAGGAGTGGCTTTGCCAAGGCAAATATTTCAGATGAAGAGATGACTTGTATCCTGGATAGTTCATCATTACCTTTTAATTTAACTTTCTGTGTGCTTACTGTTTTTGAGCGAGAAGTTGTCTTTGACATTATAAGTCCTAGACAAGCAATGGTACAACAGCATACTGGCTCGAATTCGTATAAATGCATTTCGTATTGAGTTGGCGGCAGGATCATATGAAGATCTTCTATCATCAGCTGCAGCCTGTATAGAAGCTGAAGCTGCTGTTGGAAATGCTGTGTACATGCTTCCATCCTTATACAATCATGATTGTGGTAAGTCCTCCCTTTTCTTGATGTAATTCCAGGCTGTATTATGAAGAAATACTTTGTTCATTTATAATTTTGATTCTCATCAATTCACTTTTAATCGATATTATTGGTCATTTTTTCTCTAATCTTGAAAATTTTGTCATTGATCGGAATATCACATTGCTCTTAAACAAAGAATAAATAATAGTAGTCTGTCCACCCTACTGAACGTACCAGTATTTTTTTAATTGGCTTGGCATTCTACCCTGACACCTCTGCCATAGATCATGCCTGGAGCTCTGAGCTGATTTAGCAATTATTTACTGCAGATCCCAATTCACACATTGTATGGATAGACAGTGCATATGCAAGGTTGAAGGCCCTTCGTGACGTTGAGGAAGGTTCGTCTAAGGAATTAGTATAGTTTTTATTTACTGTCCTTTCCCTCTTTGTTTATTAGATCACAACTGATTTGATTTCCTTTAGTATCAAACTTCCTGGGTATTGGTTTCAGTTACAGCGAGTAACTAGGGTTGTCTTACCAGTCTTTTTATTAGATCACAACCCACTTATGAAGGCCATTAGTAATAGTCAAGCAGTTCTGGTCTGCAAAAAATGTATGCTTGAGATGTAACAAGAAGTCAAGAAATCAAATTTACGCCTGTTGGCTAATGTGAAGTTGTTTGGTGCAACCACTGATTTGTTTATATCCCCCAAACGACTTTTAGTGGCTAGTCGTGTGCTTGCTTTGAGCAGTTATACGACAGCAATTTTGTGGGTCGGGCTTACGTATTTATAGGAATATCTGGCAAACTTGTCATGTGAAAGTTAAAATCTTTAATAGCTTATGTTGGTATCTTGCAGATGAAGAGCTCCGGATCTGCTATATAGATGCAAGCATGGATCATGATGCTCGGCAAGCTTTCTTGCTCCAAGGGTTTGGTTTTAAGTGCAATTGCCTTCGGTGTGTGTCAGGGGATTAAATGAATTTGTTGTGCTCTTGAAGAGAAAGACGTGACATGCTTGTTTGATCAATTTTAAAATTGTTGCAAAAACGCAAAGTATGCTTGTATTTCTTTTCTTATCAATTTACCCAAAAATAGAAGATAAGAAATGTTCTACTGATTTACTTATAGCTCCTTTGCAGTCATTGTCCTTCTTGGCAAGATCTAATTGGAATTCTATATCGCTTTTCATGTTCTCTCCCTTAACTTCATTTAAATGTTAAGAACCATGGACTCCGGAGGACAAAATGGTATAATATGCGTTTGCCGGGAGTCGAACCCGGGTCTATTGCTTGGAAGGCAATTATCCTAACCGTTGGACTACAAACGCTGTTGACGTTAGAGGCTGAACAATAATCTGGAATTCTTTCATTTTGTGGATATACTGTCATTTTCATTCAAAAGTCTCTCTTTTTTTTTTTTTTTTGGTGGAGTTATATACAGAGAGGTAACAATGCCCATTAATAAATCAGCATTTTGTACAAGTTGAACATAAATTCTTAGCTTTAAATAAAATAGAAATAGATTAAAATTCTTATTTGTTTTGAAATGTCAACATTTTCCGAGGAAGTATTTGATTCCATTACTATGTGGGACGTTCAGAAAAACTACCTTCAATTTTTTTTTAATATATTTTTTTTAGTTTCAATGGTAAAAACTAGTTTTTTCACCTGCAATGACCAAATTATATAAAATTATTTTTAAAAATTATTTCATTTTAAAGTCTCGTGTTATATTGTGTGTCTATCATAATTTTTTTATATTTTCATAAAATTTTTTATTAAAAAATTATTTATTTATCTCTATCCACATTTTTAGATAAAAAACTTATTTTGTAAATTATTTTTTTTTTCAAAACATCATTTTGCATTAAATTTTTTAATTAAAAAAATTAGAGAAAAAAGAAGAAGCAAGGACTAAAGTGACCAGAATGAAACAAAAAAATGAGACCAAAATCAAATAAAAAATATTTACGGATTAAAAAAATAATATTTTAAAAAAAGAGACCAAAGTGTAATGTTATAAAAACTTTCATAATAAATGTCTTAAAAATGTTTTAAAACTATAAAAATACCACTCGCATAATGAAAGGAATAACGTATCCGAGTCCGAATGAATAGTATTTTAAATAGTATAGTGAATAATAAATCATTATTTTACTTTAATTTTATTTATAATGTTTCTGCACAAAGCTACTTTGAATTTCGACATTCAAACAGCTATGCAGCCGTAAAGGTACAGAATTCTGAACAATTCATTAGCCTTTGCTCATTATTTATGGTCTATAGAACTATAACATACCAGATAAATTAATAGACCTTTGAACTATATATATATATATATATATATATACTTAACGAGATTACCGTAAAAGTTAGATTGAGATCGTTTTGTTCTCTCAATTATAACGTGATATGTGGTATTAGTTCCATTAAATAATTAATTTTGATATCAAAGGCTTGGATTTCATTGTTTGATGAAGGAAAAACTCATAAAATTTCAATGCTAAGTCTAATTTAAGCCTAACACATGTTTTCTACCCATCTATCTGCACACCCTTTCATCTCTCTTTATTTTTTTTTCATTAAGAAATTAATTATGCCCAACTGTAACCAAAAAAAACAATAATGCAAAAATAATTTTTCTAAACAAGAATGACTAATCAAATGAGGGTAATAAAGAGAACTCCCGCCATCTTAGTCTGTAATGGTGGTAGATTGGAAGGGGTGGCAAAAAGAGAGCTCTTGTAGCTAGAAATTTTCTCCCATAAAAAAACACTGCCATGAAAATATATATATACCTAACCCTCTTCTCCTTTTCCCTTAAACCAAACCAAGCCAAAACGTATGTCATCTTTTTCTTATAGAGCTTAGTTAGTTTACTAGCTTTTCTTTCTGCTCTTGTTTAGATGGATATTAGCTAAGGTTTCAAGCCAACCATTTCTTTAACTGCAAAACATCTTTACTTCGTCACCTTTCTTTGTCCATCTCAAATTCTCTTTTTTGTTGATCAGTGAAAATGGGGTCCATGTTCCTCAATTCTCCTTCACTTGCGCCCAGTAGAATCATAAGAGAGTCTAGTAAGTGCGACTGGTGCTTTGTGAGGTGGAGGAAGCGGAATGCTGTTGTCTATTGTCAAGGTGGTGGAGGAAAGGCAATAAGGTCTAGTGGATTTCCTTCAGTTTTAACCGAAGCATCAGCAGTGGTTAGTGATCAAAATCATAGAGCAGCTGTTAGGGATGCAGGGAGCTTGGTTTTGTCTCCAAATGGAAAAGGACAACCTGAAATTGCTGTTAAGGACCTACCTTGTGGTGGACCAACTAGTTCTTCTTTGGTGGAGATGCAAGACGGCATTGGCATTGTCAAATTTCTTAGAGGGAAAGGGTTCTTCATCAGTGGTGCAACTGGGTTTCTAGCCAAAGGTATAGTGTTCTAATTAAATTTTTCTTTGCCCTCAAAATTTTCTTCTTTTGATGATAATTAACATGTATCTTATGCTAAAACTTGCAGTTCTTATTGAGAAGATTTTAAGGACCACGCCTGATGTGGGAAAGATATATCTTTTGATCAAGGCAAAAAGCAAGGAAGCTGCAATTGTAAGATTGAAAAATGAGGTATGTTCCTCTTGTTTATTTCCTGTCTCCTAACTTTCACCCACTTATTCATCAATCACAGAGTTTCATTTTTAAATGGTGAATGAGAAGTTAATTTTTGGTTTGTACATAGATAATAAATGCAGAGCTATTCAAGTGCCTAAGACAGACCTATGGAAAATCCTACCAATCTTTCATGTTGAGCAAACTAGTTCCTGTGGTCGGAAATGTCTGCGAATCCAATCTTGGGGTAGAAGAAGATTTAGCCGATGAGATTGCTAATGAAGTTGACGTAATTGTTAATTCAGCAGCTAATACAACTTTTGATGAAAGGTTATGGCCTCTTTCTTTTGTCTACAATGACAATTTTGTTTAATACGAGCATGTGATTTCAAGTTGTATTCTGCTGTTGCATTGTGACATTGTGGAAATGCAGGTATGATGTTGCTATTGATGTCAACACGCGAGGAACTTGCCACCTCATGAGCTTTGCAAAGAAGTGCCGGAAACTCAAGCTCTTCTTGCAAGTATCAACAGGTTAAGTGCTAAATTTATATGACCTTTTTCAGGAGGGACTTCTAATGACAATCCTTAATGGCCTGCATGTCTAGAGAATCTGAATCATTGTATAGCCTTTCGTTTAGCGTTAGACAGGTAATATTTTGAGTTTCCAATTTCCAGACAAGTTCGATTTTGGTTATTTTTTGGTTGCAGCTTATGTTAATGGACAAAGACAAGGAAGAATTATGGAGAAGCCATTCCGTTTTGGAGACAGCATAGCAAGGGAAAATTTAATCATCTCTGAAAGCTCAGCAAGATTTCTATCTGCATTGGACATCGAAAATGAAATGAAACTGGCCTTGAATTCCAAGGAAGCTTTTCAGGAAAATGAAGTGGCTCAAAAGATGAGGGAGTTGGGTTTAGAAAGGTGAACGATTCCAACTTCTTGTTTTCCTGGTCATTTTTCTCTGCAATTTTTTGAAAGGAGCGATATGAATTCTGTTGGTAGTAATTGAAAAAATTGGTTAGTTGAAGTGAATAAATTGTGACTCGAAGTATGATAGTTGAAACCAAAACAGGGCAAAAAGATACGGGTGGCAAGACACTTATGTGTTCACCAAGGCTATGGGAGAAATGGTGGTTGATAACATGAGAGGAGACATACCAGTTGTCGTAGTTCGACCAAGTGTCATTGAGAGCACTTGCAAAGAGCCATTCCCTGGGTGGATGGAAGGAAATAGGTATCCCTTAATCAATCAATTGTCATGAAATTAATTTAAAAATGCTTCAATTTATATAATTCTGAGCTGTCTGTCTTTTTCCGTTCTTTCTGACACTATCTCAGGATGATGGATCCTATAGTTTTGTACTATGGGAAAGGGCAGCTCACAGGTTTTTTAGTAGACCCAAATGGAGTCCTTGATGTGGTAACTAGAACTCATTCTCATAATCCTATATTATTGCAAGGAAAGTAATACCTCATCTTTCTGTACTTATAAAGGGTAGCTGCTTTCTTGATATTGTTGGTTGAAGGTCCCAGCAGATATGGTGGTTAATGCAACATTGGCAGCAATAGCCTGGCATGGAATGGAGCAAAAATCAGATATCAATGTCTACCAAATTGCTTCATCCGTTGTCAATCCACTTGTTTTCCAAGACCTGGCTTCGTTGCTCTATGAACACTACAATTCCTCTCCATACATGGACTCAAATGGCCGACCAATCCATGTTCCATCAATGAAGCTCTTCAGCTCCATGGAAGACTACTCTGCTCATCTCTGGAGAGACGTCACTGAGCGGAGTCGGTTAGCGGAGATGGCCACATCGGACAGGAAGCTGTCACAAAAACATGAAAATATATGCAGAAAATCAGTGGAACAAGCTAAGTACTTGGCCAACATATACGAGCCATACACTTTCTACGGTGGAAGGTAAGGATATATATGTATATATGATTTACTATACCCTAATTAATATATACGAGCATTACAAAGTTTCTCTAGCTTACAGATTTAGTCAATTTGAAAAGAACAACGTATAAAATGCAGGTTTGATAATAGCAATACTCAGAAATTGATGGAGAGAATGTCAGAAAATGAGAAGGGGAAATTCGGATTCGACGTGGGAAGTATTGACTGGCGAGATTATATTACAAATGTTCATATCCCAGGCCTGAGGAGGCATGTCATGAAGGGTAGAGGAACGTGTGGCTGAATACCAAAATAACTTTGTCAAACCATGTCAACTACTCCTGCAACTAATTGTAATATTAAGTTTGTTAGCGTTCCTTCTTCCTTTTTCTTATGAACACATAAAATCATGAAAGGGAGGTATAAAACAAAAAAGTAGTAGTATTGCATTTTACCAAACACCATGTTGAAATTTT